GGAAGCAAAAGCAGAATTTTTGCTATGGATCAAAAGATGAGATTTAGATTTACGAGACATACACCTCGAATATACAACAGTGAAATAATTTTTGCATAAAAATGGATTCCCAACCATCTGAAATCGATGTATGAATAATTATCTGCAGAGAAGGTCCCCACTAACAGACTGATATTAGCTCGAAGGCGCAACCGTGGATGCAAAAACAACACCGAGCATCCTAACAGGAAACAGATGTGTGGCTATGATTGAGCATAATGGATAGAAAAATGCCAATTATCCAAATTCTCGCCGTTTGTTGAACTTTATTATACGTTGACAACCATTCTAATACGCAACCAACTACTGGGGCTTCTAGGGTTACTGAAGGGAGGAGTGGACAGCATTCGCATTTTGAAAAGTAAAATAAGCCGAAAAGTACAACTTAGGGGACCTGCGAAGACGCAAAAAAAACTCACGCACATGAAACAAAACATCATATTCCCAGTTGTGCAAACCATTTACACATCCTACCCCAACCGGAGTCTAGCTCCAGACAAGGCGGATGCCCAGTATGCGTCAGGCTCGCACGTGCTTATCCTATAGGTCATCCGCCTCCATCAGGGACTATACCCCATGAAAAAAAAAACACTGGTCTACCAGATATGGTATACGATGTGCATAACAATAAAATGGGGGCTCACCGAAAGTATGAGGCATGCATACTCACCATTGGTAGCAGTCATAGATTCTATGGCAGCTTCCAACTCTTGTATTTCGGGCTCCGTATAGCGAGGAGGCGGCTGATTTCGCCGCGTTGTCCCCAAACCCATAGCAGGCGTTTTCTTTGTTGGTGAAGATGGTGTCCTGTATGACATTTAAAACTAATAAATAGCGGAATCGGACGGAAATCAAATAATTCTAAAAGTAAAAATCAACAGAAAACAAAATTCTAAATAATGATTTGAAAAATGGGAAAAAATTCTCACCTCGGCGATGGTACGCCTCTAGCTGGAGAGGAAGGCGCTCGTGGGAGGCGACTTTTCTCCGCTGGAAAACTGCTTGAAGTCGCTAATCTCGTTCGAGACGACAACGTGCCTGCGGACATTGTCGGTCCCGTACCGGTATTACTAGACGAAGCAGCCGATGTAGCCATTCTATTTGCTACCACCAGCGAACGTTCGTCAGCTAACTGGGGAAGGTGCTGGAAGTTTGTTCATAGATTCAAAATACATCGTTTAAGCGGCGTGCCACCTCACAGATAAAAAAAAAGGAAAAATCAAATAGGAATGAATGTGAACATCAATAAAACAAGATTGGGAAAAAAGAATGACTTTGACTTTGCTCTCACATTCCAATCATATCCAGGTAATGTTCATAAAAATCTCAAATGAATAATTAGAAAAAAAAATTGGCCGTACTTCAATGTAATAAAACATACCGTTCCAGGCTTATCAAAGGTTAGCTTTGTTGATGAGATCAGATTTTTTCGCAACATTAATAAATCTGCTTCTTGTCCTTTTACTACCTCTTTGAGGCTAAGATTTTCTGCCTGAAATACATGCTCCTTCGCCATCTACCATACCAATCTGACCGAAGGCACTCACTTTTAGCGATTTATTTGAGTTTTTGAGCGAATCTCGCTCTTGTCGTAAGAAAGCGACTTCCTTCTTGAGTTCTTCTAGTAAGGCTTGATCGCCGGCAGACATACTCGGAGCTAAATAAACAGTTCAAGACAAAGACAAGGACGAAATTATAAGCGCACGCGCAACTTTTTTCACCTGTCTAACATTATCATCTATGTAAATGAAACTAGACTTCCATATAATGATTGTTTGAAGAACTTTTGTTCCAAACAAAAGAGTGTTTTTGCATTTAAACTAAGCAAAAAACATGATGACTTGTAAGCTTCAACCTCAACCTAAAAGGCAGCGGCTCGGCAGAATTTCGTTTTCCAGTTTT